TGGGATTTAGTACTTAAAAAACAACATGCATCACCTCAATTATTGCAGTCCTGCTAGCTGAAAAAACCCACCTTTCCTTTACGAATCATATTCCTCCTAGTTAATTTAGAGCTTTTAACTCATTGGAACAAAATGGAATTTTCCAATAGATGAAACAGGACACAGGCTGTTCAGTGAATTGCTACCAGGTGCATGTTACTAACCTGGGAAACTCTCACAATTAGTCTGCCTTGGTTTACTTCACACGAAAAAAAAAATTTTACTATAAAACACCAAGAGCTGATTTGACATATTGGCAAATTCTGCCACCTTCATTCCACTTGAGAAGAAACCCAAGTTGCAACTAAATTAATTAATATCACAGAATTAGCTACTAATACTATGAGATGGAACTGGACTGACAGTTTTTCATGCCGTACATTGCATCACACATGGTCAGTCTTGTCCTGCACAAAGCACATGCCCGGCTGTGTTACACCAAGGAAATTCAAAGCGTTGATGTATGGATCTCAAATACCAAATTACTAATTCCCATGCATGAGAGCTATGGAGTGCCTGGGTCTCTCGCTTACCTAAATGGGAGCTGCTACTTGCTCAGCCTCCAAAGAACTTTCCCCTGTGTGATTTGGTAGGAGACTTAATCTTTTGACCTCCAAATACATGCAAAATTAAGAGTAGAAAAAGACCCAGCCCTATTTTCAGCTATTATACCATATTCAAGAAGACATGCCACTTGTGCTCTTGCTTTCCTTAACTCCCCTAATCCTGCATAATATTCCCTTCCCAGACCAAGCATTCGGAAATCATTCATGAAGCAGACATTTAATAAGTGAAACTCTGGCTTGCCTAAAAACAATAAATCCAAATAAGCAACAGGTTGCACTGGGACTATATGCAGAACATGCTGAGAATTAACATGCAACACATAAAGGCAAATAACAACTTAATTGAATACATATGGGATCAGGACCCTAACTGTGGCTGAAACATGAGCTATTAAATCTATATTCATCCTGGCTCAACTATCAAAATTGA